GTTTAATCCCGAATTTTTGATAGCACAAATTCTTATTAATAGTGATTGGCTGACACGAAACATATCAGTTTTTGGAATATAAACAAGCTCCTATTGGTTACACTCATGTGTCTCGACACATCATTAATGATATAGGAAAGAAAGTTCTAGAAAAAGTATCCTCTCTAATTGTGTATGTTTAACCTTCAGGAAACAATTATAATACTGAAAGATGAGTGATAGATATGAAAAGAAGATTCAACTCCCATCTCTTATTAAGTTCTTCAAATGGTGAAAAGGTTTTCTTGGATGAAAACTGAGGTCTCCAAGCTTCTATCCTGGTCAGGCAAAGTTCTTGAAAAGATTTCTTTATTCTGATTAGGCAAACTCTTCTGTAATATGGTACTGGCCTCACTAGCGATAAGTAAATCTATACATTGAAAGAAGAATAAGTTTCTCAAATGTTCTTTTTGAAGTCACTTTAAGAATGACTAAGTTCCTCAAATGTTATGAAGTTCAGAGAATATTCCAATCAAGCAAACCCCTTTTGAGAAGAAACTATGAAATGAAGCAAAAACCTTTTGGAAGGTTTTGATTTACATTCTTCATCTTTTTTTTTCAGTATCAACTTTAGCAATTTATCATTTATCGAAATAATTTACAGTGACAAACTGTTGGCGATAATCCTGGTTGACTTAGAGATACTATTTCTAAGCTATTAGGAGAGTGAAATATTGTTCCCTAAATCTGACTTAGAGTATTTAGTTTAGACTTAATTTTATTTAGTCTGAACTAGTTTAATAGACTTCTCATATTTTTTAAGTAGTGTAGTTCTTTAACTAATAATATATAATGACGAGTTAGTCACTTTGTGAAAGTCTGTAAAGTATTTAGGTATTTCTCAATATCTCAATAAAGACATGCCATTGTAGCATAATTACTAGTTAAAAAAAAAAAAAATTAAATAATATAAAAATTTAAAATTATTATAAATTATTAATATATAGTATTATAAATAAATATAAAATTTTTATCTAAAATAAGTTAAAATCAAATATATTTCTAAAATTCAATAAATTTTTTAAATAATCTAAAAAAAAAAAAAATTTTTTTTAATAAAGATATCAATTTATTAAAAAGAGATTTTAAAATATTGAGTATTTAAAATTTTGATCTTTTTTTTTTTTTAGTATAAAAACTATGGATTTTAAATAATTAAAATAATATTTATCTAATATACAGTATTTATAAAATATTATATTGTTTTCATAATCAAACTTAAGGATTTTGACTTAAGATATTTGTTAATAGAAAAATAATTTATTATTGTTGCAAAAAAAAAAGTTAAATATTTCAATATTGGTATTTTAAATTAGCGCGAATTGACCGTGTTATAAATAAAACATGCAAGTCAATTTTAGATGTTACAATAGATATCTAAAAAAAGGGTTTGCTTCTTTATCGGATATAAATTTTCAGGAAACCGAATTAAAGTTTAGATGTTGTGTATTATCTTCCACATGTGGATGCCACCGGAAAATTTTTCAGGGGGTGATAATTAGTGATAATTTATGATAATTAGTTGTATAAGAATCATGTAATTATTTTTAGAATTATTAATATCATTATTTAATTTGCAATATGTTGATTTATGTATTCCATGTATTCAAAGTTTTTATATAATGCGTGGTAACGGTGGATTTGGTGAATTATTCTTTTCTTACAGTTTTCTTTTGTCCTCTTCTCCCTCCTTTTCTGTATTACTTATTAACACACCCTTTGTTTTTTATGCACCTTGGCTTCAAAAAATATTCTCTTACGTAAATATTCCCGACACCTGCGTACCTTTGGCTCGAAATGCTTCGACTTCTCGCTATTTTCAGTAATTCCTCATCCGAGGATTCCGCAAATAAAAAGGCAAAAGAAAAAAAAACGCAGTCAAAAAAAGAGGCCGAGGAAGCAATAAAAGAACAGCCAGAGGTTAAAAGGAAAAACGAACAAAATGTTCAGTGTGACGAAAAGAAGAGTAAGAGCAAAAAGAAGCCTCAAGTTAATGACCCACCAAGCGGGGAAGGTAAGGACACGAAAGTTAAAAAGAAAAAGAGCCACGACCGTGACTCCGGTTTGGGAGAAATGATTGATAATGATGATTTTCATCCTCCTGGCTTTAATCGAGAGGCCACAACGCATAGACGTCACAAGAAAATTCCTCAATATGGTTATTTCGACTCGGAGTTAGATGGTGAGAGTCAAAAATCATATAATAATCGCGGTGATGATGATGATGATGTGCCATTGGGACTTAAACAAAACCGTTCCGCGAGTTCACTTGGTTCTTACCATATATCTCAAGAACATAGCGAAGAGAGTAATAGATCGCCTTCTAGGCATTCAGGTGTATTTCCCAATGGAGATCGATCTCGCGGACATGTGGCGAGGTTGAGCCATCCTCCCAAATCAAGGGCCGGGCATTTGTCGGGATGTTCGAATGTGCCCACAATTTCATCACCTTCTCTGGTGACTAACAGTCGGCAGGCACCGAGAGAATCGCATCAATATCTTCGCGAACGTAAATTTAGTTCGTCTAATTCTTCAGAATCTTCGGCAAGTTTTGACAATGGCACCCGAGCACGCCAACATCTGAGTCTTTCAGCAAAGAATCAACATTGCGATGTTGTCTCAAATGGTGAATTAGGTTGTTGGGAGGAAAGTTACAATAACCATGAAGCTCGTAACCTAGGTGTCCCCCCCTTTAGCACCCCAGCCATGCCTAACAGTCGTGCGCGTAATTTGAGTTTGAATTCGATTCCTCGTTCAGATCCATTTACAAGAAGTGCACCCCCACCGAGGAGAGCGAGCGACGGTGCCGTCTTATCAAGTACAAAACTGCAATCTGAAAAAGGTAAGAAGACCATGAAACTATCGGAATACCACAAATATCAAGAAGAGAAGATTGCGGCTCAGTATCACAGGTACCGGGTGAATCCGTTGCCGATTTCCGACGAGTCGGAGGTAATTCCCGCACGTCCAGGGACACCTACATTAATTCAGATCCAACATGAATATAAATCGTTGAATGTACAAGGAAGTTCTTTGAGGCGTATAAGTATGACGGAATCAAACTCTGGTTTTGCAAGGAATAGTCAGCCACCTATTATCGGTAGGCCTGAACAACGTAGAAATCATTCGGAGACAACAATAATGCAACAACAGCTTAATGTACCAAGAGCCCCCCAACCTCGGAGAAACACACCTTCATGTCTACCAACACAATTTCACAACTCAGTAACATCTCTGTCATCTTCAAGCTCCACCAGCGGTAGTGGTGGACCGCCAACTCCTACCAGCAAACGATCAAGTGTAAACATTATTGGTAGTAGACCCGGTACCCCTTCTATGAACGAAAAGGATAAGAGGAAGAGGAGCACCTTGGGTTATTGTTAAGCGACGATTTGATCAATTGATTCTATTTGGATTAGTAAACTATGGAACTTTCCTTTTTTTTTTTTTTTTTTTTTTTTTTTTGCATTTCACAAAAAATAGACGAGTAAGCGCATTCATTCATTCACTCATTTATCAATTGATCCTGTTTCCATTCATCAGTTTAATTTACCTGTTGGACATTGGATTTGTATTGTTTTGCTTTCCTATTTTTCTTTCCGGGAACATTTGAACTCATTTTTCACAGAGTTGCCATGAAGGACTTTTACATCATCGCTGGCGAGCGAATCACAAATAACTTTTTTTAGTATTCGCGTAATGATTTTCTTTGTATTGTATTTGCAGAATCTCTACATTTGTGTACAGACTCTGATGATAAAAATCTAAAAAAAAAAAAAAAAAAGAAAAAAAAAAGGGAATTTGCCTCTAAATTTTATGATTTTTTTTTTAAAAAAAAAAAGAAAAATATTTCGTTCCTAAAAATTCTTCCTCGAATTCAACTCCTCTATTTGTAAATTTCCGATTATGACTAAAATCTGTCAATCAATTATCACATGCCAAGCTTCCACTTTTTTTTGTGAGAACCACCTTATTGAACGTAAGACAAGATACTTAAATTCCCGTTTTATTTTTTACCGATGATACAATCACCAACTTCACCGTTGTATGTATGTATATCAAGCAAGTCAAGCCTCAACATGTTTAAGACGCCGAAATCATTGCTTGGAATTCAAAACAACAATTCACTAAAATAGAATTACTTTCATTTTCCTGTCGATTTAATTTTCCAAAAAAAAAAAACTCAAACAAAAAATATTACTACGCGGAAATTAAAATGGTTTCTAATGTTACGCGACTTTTCTTGTGTTCATTGAGAAAAATGTCACTCGCGTTACGAATAAACATTTTGTCCGCCATTCGTACCACCCGTTTGAATAAATGCGTTGAGATCGAATACAGTAGTGACACAACGTATTGACACAAGAATACAAACCTGGTCAGACTGTAACTTTACATGTAACGGAACAGGTTTATCGATGAAAGGGTATCATTGAGTTATCGCTTATCTTGGGATAACCTGTTTCTGGCAAAAGTTTGTTCTCTCTGAGACAAGGTTATCAGATATGACAATAATATGCGTGCCATTCCGCCAAAAGATACAGTATATATACAGTATATGCTGTATATATACATACTGTATCCTTGTTTGTGACTTTTGTGCCGGCACAGCACAAGATACTGCGAACTAGGCTGTAATTGCTTTTAACATTTGTAACATGGATGAATGCGAGTATTATTATTAAAGAGCATCGAGTGTGGGATGTGTAACGAGCTCCATTACATCAGTAAAATTAAAGTATTAAACCTAATTTATCGAAGTTATAATCCTCCGAAGATTAACAAAATAACATACTTCTATTTGTATCATGCATATCATGAGAAATAAAATCTTGTGGAGAAATATATGCATCGTATTATTGATGTTGGGTGTCTTACTTTTTTCCTTCAACGAAAGATTTGTATCTTGAGACGAATCTCCTGTAAGATTAACGAACGACATATTACAGTATAATCAGCACACATGAAGAAGAACGTTAAAACGATTTACCGTCACTATATTATATAGTATGAGGAGGGTGTACGAACCGTTTTCCGACCCGTAATAAAAATTTAATAAAACGCCGGTCGTTCCCTCCCTCTTTCGATAATAATTACCTTCTTTGGTACCATTATACTATTCAATTGTCGCATGATTCGATGTGCATTGTTGTATTATTTTTAACACACTGCCGTTTAATTTAGCTATGTAGAGGCACTCTCTTGTGCTCTTTCCGTGCTCTTCTCTCTCCGTTATTCCTGCATGGGCGCTTAGTTTGTCAAAATTCAGTGGCCTCTTCCTTGTATTAATCTTCTGTAGGCAGTTGCATGATTTTTCTTATTGAGAATTACCGATTTTGGAATAATACACATGATTTTAAAAATTTTTATTCATGCTCCCATGGTCTTCTTACCCGCTACCGTGGAAAAAAAAAAAAAAAAAAGAAAACGAAATCTCCATAAACGGATATCTATAAAAAAAAGTTACACGCTATACACTAAAGATGTTCTTTTTACCAGCAGCCCATTATTATTAATATGACTATCCCGTGACTTTAGCGTAAGCGATCATTACATCGTGCTTCGTCGTCGTGCCTGTTAGAACATTCTTATAGGCGCAATTGGTAAAAATATCACGCGATATAAAATTCTTTAAATTGGAAATTAATTGAAGTCACTTTTGGGAATCTAATTGAGTTTGACAAAAGAAAATTCTTAGTGATATCATTAAATTCGATAATTTTTAAACTCTCAGAAAATTAATTATTTTACCAAACTCTATTTGTAAAGTGATAAATATCAGGATTCGATAATTTGATTTGAAAATTTTCTTTTTTTTTTTTTTAATTGCGATCAGGCCGTGATAGTTCATCTACTTTATTTAAAAAAGACCTTTTCACAGCATGATTGTCTCGTCTGTGAAAATTTTAAAATATTAGGAGGATATATAGTACATTGTATGATATACAATATATACGTATTGTAAAATTACTATATTATAGATTATCTTTTTTGATAGGTTTTTATTTGCAAGAAAGATTGATAAATAATCTAGATACAAGTTAAATCAAGTATGATTGAAATTTTAAACTTAATTTAAGTTTTTAAAAATTGATTTTATCAATTTTATTATAACAAAAATCAATTTTATAATATAATATAACGTAATCATTTATATCAATTTAATATATTTATAAATATAAAGTTTTTAAAAAATCAATTTATTTTTATATTTTAATAATCAAGAACTTTTTTAAAATATATATATTTACTGTATATATATTAAATTAATTATATTATATTATTTAATATAGATTATGATTTTTTTCACTGATCCTCTATTCTTTCACAAAAAAGATATTCACAAGAAATTTCTTTATTTCTATCCTTAAATCAATTTAAAGTTTTACTTCAAGAGATATTCCCATATCCCATTTCTTATTTATATTTGTCTTCAAATAAAAACTTATTTTTTAGTAACTTTAAAAAATCAAAAAACATCATTTCTATCTATTATAAAAAAGTTTTATAAAAAAGAAAAACTAATGGTATAATACTTAAAGTCTTTCATATTGAAACACATCTATAGAAAATTTTTACAATAGAAGATAATAAACATTAAGTTATATTTTTAAAGTATCTATCCACTATATTTTTTTTTTTATAGTTGATTAAATTTTTTAATTTTCTGAAAAATTTTATTTATCTCAATTTAATTCTAAATTTTGGGTGACACAATCTATTGTAAAATATGATTGATAAATATTAAACATATTAATAATTTAATATAAACAAAACTTAATTTTTTTTTTAATTATTTTAGGTCAAGCTAGGTATGTATACTTTATTAAACATTTGTATACTGTATATTTTAAATGATTTGCTAAAACTAAGACTTTACCTAACTCATTCGTCACTGTTTTGTCTTAATATATCAAAACTCTAAGTACAACTTCAGGAGTGATTTATCGCTCCATTAATAGTTCAGGTGAATACACTTCCAATCTTTAACATCATTTCCCATAAATCACCACTGCAAATCACTATTCATTGTTCTGATCAAACTTAAAACCCAACCACTTTATTCTATAAGTAATACCTTTGAGTAAAATTTCTTTCAGGCTTTCATTTTCTTGAGTTCCTTTCTCTAGTAAAAAATTTTTACTTTTGAGAACTGATGATTTTAAGCTGTGTATGCCTGAAAGTCAATTAATTCTTTCTATTCTGCAAATCCCTTATAAATATTCCCATTTGATTATCTTCTCATATCTTTTGTTCCAAATTTTTTTTCTTATTTGGTTATACACTCTTCTTTATATTTTTGACATCCATCTTTTTGCCTTATTATTAATTCTTTTTTCATGGCATTTCAGATCTGCCATTTTTAGAATTAGGTCTCTCCTTACTGCTCTATGTAAAAGCTTAGAGTGTCCTGAATGGTTTTTGAAGTTTTTTCTATCAGTTTAGAAATCTATTTATCCAACTCAACCTTTTCTTCTTCATTATGAATAATCAACATTGCATATTTTTCTTCTATCTCTTTTTTCCTCTCTTGTAAAAGTCCACCGAAGTCTCTAAGAATCTCATCTTGTTCTTTATTCCATGCTTCCTATAATTGTTTTTTGTACACTAGACATTCTAGTAAATGTTTGAAAGTTTCACTTTGCTGATTACATGCAATATACTTTACTTGTTTGTAAAGATTAGACCTTTTAGTTGGCAGCTTGTTCAGAGTAAATAGTTTATAATTTATTAGTTTTATAAGAAAGCTTTTTCGCTGTGATTGTTTAAAGGAAGTGTCCCAGGTATGTTCTTCTTTCATTCTCTTCATACAAGGTTCTAGGTATAATCTTGCTGTTTTATAATTTGATAACTTCATCTTTTTTCCATTCTGTTTTATTGTGTCCATTGGAAGGCAATTGTTTTATTGTTTACTTTTTTGACAAATTGTCTTATTGGATCATCCAGTGTTTTTTCTTGCTATCTAATTTCTGTGATAATCTTGTATGAGGTTAACTCTTTCCATTCTATTGTTAGGAGTTTCAGAGCTTCTTTGACTAGATCATCTGCTTCTTCATTGTAGAGATTATTGGAATATACCTTAATCTTAATAAGTTACAGGTTTATGATCTTTTTCTTTATCAATTCTAATATTCATACCCACAGGTAATGATGGGTCCCTAAAGTATTTAGCATATAAAATTTTGCAGATCACTTATGTCCTTTTTTGAGGGACAAAATTCATAACTCTTTACTTCAATAAGGACAAAAATCAGGAAATGCTATAAATCAATGATTTGGATAATGGAGAACAATTGTGGATAGTTTTTTATAATTATTAATTTAAAAATTTTAATGTTTCCTAGTGAGGGCCATTTGATTTATATCCTTGTCTTCCCCTTTAG